ACATACATTTATTTATTGCATCTTCTCTTAAAATGAGACTAACAATAAGTTGTAAAATCTTATAACTAATTACATAATGTTACAAATTTTTATTTTAATTATACATTGTATAAAATAAAATAAAATAAGTAAACCTTATATCACGAACCTCACTTAGATTAATGGGTTAAATTTCATTAAAGTGAATGTTAGGTGGTTTCTTAAGAAAGTGGTTCAGATTACTAAAAAGAAAGGTGCGGTTTTTACTTCAAGCTGTTGAATATTAATTAACGGATGGACGGTCAGTTCTTTTTAGACGGGAAGTAATGGATAGAAAGTGCGAGATTTCTTGCTAAGGATTAACATGCTCTGTCAGCCTTTTATTATATTTTTTTCTTATATTGTCAAATTCAGCTTTAACTAGGGGAATTTGTAGATCTCGGTGTATACTTTCATTCCTAATATACCATGGGGCACCAGTGATAATTCTTAGTATTTTTGACTGAGCTCTTTGTATAATTCGCCATTTTGACAACCATTTCTCCACCCGATATAAGTGAGATTGAAGTTGGTTTGAAGCTAGCACAGCGTTTCTGTTTCGGCATAAAATTACCGTATCATCGGCAAACGTTGTAGGGCATTTGTTATCTCAATGGGTTCTACATCTGATTCGATACCTTTAATTACGACAACAAGGCCCTTACTACTCTTTAGTTGGTATGTGTAGTAATTTTTTTTGCTGTCTTCGAAATATTTGGTTATGACTCTAAAATTGTTTTCAGTGTCGATTTGGATTTTGGTTTCGTGTATATTGCCCCTAGTTATAGGAACAATATAAAAAGTATTATTTCCAATCAGACTTGCAAGGATTGTAACTAGGTTATTTGAACTGCGTTCACGCAAGTAGATTGGAGGCGGTTTAAAATTTTTGTTAATAGGCTGATTAGCTTCATCTGTAGTTTCAGCTAATTCAGCAAATCTATTGCCAGAAAGAATGTTTGTAGTCGCACTATCTTTGATGGTTTTAGTTATTTTAGCACCTTTTGAATTGCTTTTTTGAGGACTAAGTTTGCGTTTCATATTTACATAGCGTTCCATGCCTGTTTGGACCTTTATTTTATTTTTTGGACTTGCTAAGTCGGAAAATGCAAGCGAAGTTGCTGAAGGTGCAATGTTTGACAAGCTTTTGTCAGTTTGTGTAGTTTTCAGAGGCAACGTATTCGATGCGTCTATTACCAAATAAGCATTACGTTTACTTGGAATGCTTATCGTATGTCTTCTTACTAGATTTTGATTGCTCATTTGCATACGTGGTTATATATGCAAATAGCAGGTGTGCTATAAGATTTACTTAATTTAACTACTATTAATATTAATTGATATTAAATTAAATTAACTATATAAATATAAGTAAAATTAAATTAAATTAATATAAAGAAGAAAATAATAAAAATAAAAATGAAGATGTAAAAATAAAATGAAAATGTGTAAAATATTATACTTTATATTCTAATAATTAAACATATAAATAAAAACAAAAAGAGAGAAAAAAGAATAATAATTATACTAAGAATAATAATAATAATAATAAAAAAAAAATAATAATAATTAATAATATAAATATCTTTAAATTCCAAAATCCAATGTTAGCACGTATGTTGGTTTTGATGTTGTGTTGTGTTGTGATGAATTGCGGGCTTCCAATTACAGCTTTTGTGGAACACGTTTGTAATAATACTAGCTGTCTCTATCAGCACTTTTTTGTTTTGTTTATATATTCACAAAACCGCACTGATATTTTGTTTGAATGCTTGCTCACTTTTTTTATTTTGAGCTTTAGAAAATAATTTGCTGTCTCTGTCAGCTATTTGAGTTTTTTTTTATATTAAAGTTGTGCAAAAATCAACAAAAATCGAAAAAGCGCGCGCTATTTTCAAATTAATATTTTATGCACTTTTAACTTTTAGGAATTGTTTTTTTTGTTCGAGAATGTTCTGTTTTTTATTTTTGTATTAATATCAAAAGTAATTCCTTCAAAAGTGACCGCCAATTACTTGTTTTTATACTGAAATTTAAATTTTTCCGAGACCGGCTTAAAAATTTTTTATTTTTACAAAAAATTTTGATGAATTACTTGACATGAGAACAATTAACTCATCATCAGTTTCGAGTTCAAGAAATTCTCATGATCTAATCAAATAATGTATTCAACTAATTGAATCTAAAGAAGCAGAACCCAACTGTGACAAATTATATGCGCACATAGTAATAAGAAAATTGGATAAAGAAGGTATTCAATTATATGAACAACACATTAAAAAACCAAGAGAAATAAATACACTAAAAGATGTATTAGAATTTTTAGAACAAGAATTTCAATCTCTGGAAGCCCAGAATAGCGTAAAAGCATCAAAGATAAACTCAATTATCAACCATACAACTCAAGAACTCAGAATAGTGCAATCCAATGCCAATGTGTTATCAATTAGGACATCGAATGTATAATTGAACACGTTTTATAGACATGACGATTGGACAGAGAGCATCATTAGTCCGCAATAAACAACTATGCGAGCTATGTTTGAGTCATAATAATCGCAGTAAATGCAACTCCACACACAAGTGCAAAAAATGTAATAAAGCTCACAACTCTCTCTTACACATGGAATATAATCATAACCAACGACAACAAAACATCAGAAACAATCCAAAAATTAATAAAGAAGGGAAGATTTATTCAACAATAATAAAAGATAAGAAACAGTTGATGATATTTCCAACTATCTTAATCAGCATAATATCGTTAGATGGAAGCATTCACCAATTGAGGGCTTTGGTTGACCAAGGCTCGCAAGTATCAATGGTATCTGAGAAGGTAGTTTAATTATTAATATTAAATAATATAAAACATATGACAAAATTGACAGGGTTATCTAACACAACTGTTGGTACATCAAATGCCAACGTCTTTATGGAAATATTATCAAGATTTAACATCAAGAATAAAATAAAAGGAGAATTTTCAGTAATGTCACATCTAGTAAAATCATTACCTGAAGAATCAATAGAAATAGAAAACGTAGTTTGGGACAATTATTAATTAGCGGATCCTTAATTTAATAAGAATGGTCGCATTGATGTAATAATAGGAAGCGACCTTTATCCAAAAATAATAAAAAAGGCATCAAAAATCATTATAACATAGTCGACCAAGATACAATATTTGGTTGGATGATTTCTGGTCAACTATCAAAAGATGCAACTAGTAATAATGTAGTATTGATTGAATACTCATGCTAAATGCTTCTTTCTATTCTTTTCAATTATTTTTAAACAGTCTTGGTTCGTAATAGTTAAACAAATAATACAGTAAGAAACTTAAATAATTATAATACATATCCAAGACAAATCCCACGCAACAATTTTAATAACAGAAATCAGTATACACAGAACCAAAGCAGAATTAGAAAGTACGGACCCCCTGAACCAGTGGAAGTAAATTTTCAGGTAAGAGCCTCGCAACAGAACTAAACCCAAATACTTTAAAAACAAAACCAGAAATAGTGAAACCTATGTTAATGAAGATAATTAGTAATATATTTGAATTAAACAGAATCGCAACGACGAAAAACGAATGTGAATTACGTTTCTTTACAGTTTCTTGTTCAAAAAATTGTCATGGACTTTTAGGTTCTGATATTATTAATTGATTATTATAATAACAAAACGATAAAAATAAATAACAAAAACTATAAACTATAATTTATCCAAACGAAATTGTAAAAGAAGAAGAGAATAACTATAAGGAAATATTAAAAGTTCATAAAACAATTCCGATAGAAGATAGTGTACTTAGATTAGATCATTTAAATGTTGAGGTATAACAATATATTAATATTCTATTAAATAAATTTGAACATATATTATAAAAAGAAGGGGACGACCTCTCTTTCAGAAATAAAATTAAACATAAAATCAAAACAAGACATGAAGACCCATTATATTCAAGATCTTATAGATATCCTCGAATGTATAATGAGGAAATAGAAAAACAAATAAATGAAACGAATCAAGGTATTATTAGGCATAACTCCTCACCTTACAATTCCCCTATTTGGGTAGTAGGCAAAAAATTTGATAATACAGTTAAACAGAACTGGAGAATTGTTATAGATTATACATAGAAAGTTAAATGGAATCACTATAGATGACAAATTTCAAATACCTAATTTTGACGATGTATTTGATAAGTAAGGCAAGTCAATATATTCTCCACATTAGATTTGACGAAATCTTTTCCAGGCTTCCAGCAAATAGAAATAGATGAAGATAGTATAGAAAAAACTCCGTTTTCTACGTTACAAGGACACTATGAATTGTTAAGGATGCCATTCGGAATAAAGAATGCGGCTTTAACTTTCCAAAGCTGATTAGGTGATTGTATTGGCAAGATTTTTTTTGTATATCTTGATGATAATAATATTTAGCACAGCTTTACAGGAACACATTGTAGTGTCATATTAACCTTGACCACACACAATGTGCTGTGTGCGGTAATTAGCATGACACACCCAAAACACTTAAGTTTCAGTCCATGTGTAATTTATGACATGGAAACCCAAAAAGCCATTTTTAAGTATTTTGCGAGTCAAGTAATTTGACTCGCCTTTGCGTCATTTCTTTATGACAAATATTCTGCTGCATAATATATAACTTCAATATGCGCTTGGCTTTTTGGGTTTCCATATTTAGAGCACATGGAAGTAAACTGTGTTTTCCGTAATCATATTGCGAATGCAATATGACCACCCGCAATACTTCTAATTAAAAAGTGTGTCATTGAAACACATGGTATTTGACGAATGGAATAAGTAGATAAAATTAGAATTATAAACATTATCTTAACCAATAGAT